GCTGCTGCTGCTGCGCAGCAGCAGCAGCAGGACTCCACTCCAAATCAACTCCCAGCAGCAAGCGCAGCCCCGCTGCATGCAGCGCAGCAAGAGCTGCTGCCCTGAAAGCCCGCAGCGCGGAAAGGCACTAACTTGGGGTGTACGTACACCTGCGCACCTGTTGGGGTGTACGTACACCTCGTGCAGCAGCAAGACAGCAGCAAAAAGAAAAGTATAAATGCAAAGAAATATAAATCTGCATGCGCTCTTCAACTCAGAACTCACCACAGTCTTGCTGCTTCTTGCTGCTCCACCAGGAATATTAGACGCTCTCGGCGGGGGCCCCCATAGAACTGCTGGCTGGGGGCCCCCCACTGGGCCTCCTGGGGGCCCTGGGGTCCCCCAGGCCCTCTGGGGGGCCCCCCAGAGAGCCTGAGGGCCCCCAGCAGGCCCAGCTGTGCCCAAGAGGCTTTGTGGGCCTCGAGACCCTCGAGGTTGAAGGCCCGGAGAACAGACTCTACGCACACCTTCCGCCCATGCTGCTGCTGCTGCTGCTGCTGCTGCTGCTGTTGGTGGCAGTGCTGATTCCAGCGGCCCCCTGTGGCGCTACAGAAGGGCCGCAGCAGGTACCCAGGCTGCTGCTGCGGGCTGCAGTGCTGCTGCGGGTAAAATGACTGGGGGTGCTGCTGCAGAGCGCTGCATGCAGCAGCAGCAACAGCAGCAGCAGCAGCAGCAGCGGGCCCCTGAAAAGGTGAATTTGAACAAAGTGGAAATGCAATTTGGGGCCAAGAGCTGCGCAGCAGCGGGTGGCACATCCCTAAGACAGCCAGATCAGCGCCTCAGGGAGTTCAGAATATCATTTAAGGACTCATCTCTTGCTTCCAAATAATCGAAAATGTAATTTAATATTTAAATTAATAATTCCAATGGAAATTGTCGAGACTTACCCGCGGGGAAGCCACTGGCGAAGAGGAATCTGCAGCAAGGGGGGCCCCTCCCGCCTCGAGCGCTTGCAGGGGCCCCTCCTGCTGCCATCAACAGTCGCCGAAGAAGAACAAAATGGGATATTTTTGTCTTCTGTGCTTTTCTTTTGATTTAAGATTTTAAAAGTGCAGAAAATTAAAGAAATTTGAGGGAATTTCGATGGCCAATTGCTGCGCAGTTGCGCTGCATTCCACTGGTGAGCTGGTCTGTCCAGGTGCGGCGGCGAAATGCTGAATTCAACACTGAGAAGGGCAACAAAGCCAAGAAATGCACTGATCAAACCTGTCTAGTATTTTTAATGATTTATTATTTATTTCGGTTTAATTTCCTTTTATTTTTCTCCAAAATTCGTCGATTTTGCCTCGGGAACTGCTGCAGCGCCGCAGCTTACGTACACAAGAAAGCCGCGGAGTTCGGCGTTTCAGGTTTCACTGTTTCCCAGAAGAGCTTTCCTGGACTTAACTTGCAGGAAATATGTTTTTCCTCTCACAAATCTGCTGAAAATAGTAAATATTTCCGTTTTTCCTGGCTGATCGCTTCAGAAAAAGACTTCGTTTCCCAACTTCAATTCGTTTCGGCTGCTGCTGCTGGCGCTGCCACACCGCGTGAGCAGCAGCTTCTTGAGAAGCAGCCAGAATGACAGAAAGCTTCTTTTTGCCTTCTCCGTACTTTAAAGCTTTAGAAAATGCTCGGAGTTGGGTTTCTGCAGTGGACTGGAAGCAGCAAGAGTCCGAAGTCCTGGAGCTGCTTTCGCGGATTCGCCAGAAGCTGACGAAGCTGCAAATGTGGCAGAGCCACGGCGAAGCGCTGGGGGCCCCCCAGGGGCCCCCCAAGCGCAGGTGCAGCAGCTGCCGCTGCAGCTCCCCCTCAGAATGTGAGGAAGCAGCAGAAGCAGCAGAGGCAGAAGCAGAAGAGGCAGCAGCAGCAGAAGAAGGGGCCCCTGAAGAGCCTGACAGCCAGACTCCTGCGGCCCTAGAAGACTCTCAAAGCCATTTACACAACATGTACAGCGACCCCGAAGCTAGCCAATGCTCGAGGTAAGCTGCTGCTGCTGCTGCTCCTGCTGCTGCTGCTGGACTTTCCTTGAACTCATCGCCGCCCTTCCCAGTGCCGCATCCGAGCTTTGTGACGCCCTTGATCAGCAGCAGCAGCAGCAGCAGCAGCAGCAGCAGCAGTGGGCTCTTCGCTCCATGGTCAGTGTGACATCTGCGCGGTACGCATGCATTTTGAAGTTGGAGTATTTAATTTCAAAAATATTTTCTTCATTTTTTTAAAATAAACTTTCCCAGGACTCACGAGCCCTGCAGCAGTCCACAAGAGCGCGCACAGCGGCGCCTCTTAGTCCCAATCTGTAAGGCTGCTGCTGCTGCTGCTGTTCTGCTGCTGCAGGAGCAGCAGCAGCAGATTTGTGCATGCATTCAAGCGCATGCAACCGCCTGCTCGCAGGTCGTGGCTCTGCTGGCATTCGTATTGCTTCGACGACCGGACACAGACAGAACGTGACGTGAGAAGACTTCATTTGCTGCTGCTGCTGCTGCTGCTGCTGCTGCTGCTCCTGCACCTACTTGGCTTACGAATTCGCCTGCAGCAGCAGCCGCCGTGAAGTGCAGCTGCGGGACACATCTACGGGTCAGCTGCGGACTTACCAGCTTTACCGAGACGCCGAACTAGGTGCGCTACACGCTGCTGCTGCTGCTGCTGCTGCAGCAACACTTACTGCTGCTGCTGCTGCTGCTGTTACTGCTGCTACAGCAACAGCTGCCGCTGCTACTGCTGCTGCTAGTGCTTCTGCTGCTGCCGTTTCTGCCGCTACAACAGTTGCTTCCCCGGCAGCATCCGCTGGTGCGAGCGCTGCTGTTGCTGCTGCAGCAGCAGCAGCAGCAGCTGCTGCTGCTGCTGCTGCTTCCAGCTTCTAAGCAAGACGCACACAGGCCTGGAAGAGCTGGGACGCGCAATGGACTTGGAAATGGCTGCAGTGCCTCTCAACTGCAGAGAAGATGATGATGTGCAAACCACTTCGGATGTGCTCGCGCTGTGAGCTGCTGCTGCTGCTGCTGCTGCTGCTACTGCTGCTGCTGCTGCTGCTGGCGGTGGTGGTGCTGGTGCTGCTGGAGCCACTGCTGCTGCTGCTGATGCAGCTGCTACTGCTGGTGCTGCTGCAGCTGCCGCTGCTATACTGCTGGTGCTGCGGCTACTGCTGCTACTGCCGTTGCTGCTGCTGCTGCTGCAGAGCCATTGAATTGTTGGACTTTGCTGCTGCTGCAGGGGAGTGGGGACTGTGGAAAGATATCTTTGCTGCCTTTCGCTAATTGCAGAAAGTCACCTCGAGACTTCTGCGGAGCTGCGCATTCGAAAGCTGCGCAAACGAATTCTGCGGCCTTGACCAAACCCTAAACCCTAAACCCTAAACCCTAAACCCTAGGCGCTGAGCCCTCTGGCCAGCCCGCACTAGCTGCGGAACTGCAACTGCTGCTGCCTCAAAACCTTGCTCCAAACCCTAGCTCCAAACCCTAGCTCCTAAACCCTAGCTCCTAAACCCTGGCTCCAAACCCTAGATCCTAAACCCTAGAAACCGCCAAGTGGCCACACCAAACCCTCTCAAAAACCCTTTTTAGGGTTTCGATGAGTATGTTTAGTGTAAGTGTAAGTTGCGGTGCATCGGCAGCTGCCTGCTGCTGCTGTAGCAGCCAGCTGCCGGTGCGGTTGCTGCTGCTGCAGCAGCAGGCACCCATCGGTGCTTCTGCTGCTGCTGCTGCAGCAGGCACCCGTCGGTCCGTTTGGTGCTGCTGCAGCAGGCACCCGCCGGTGCGTTTGCTCCTGCTGCTGCAGCAGGCGCCCGTCGGTGCGTTTCCTGCTGCTGCTGCTGCAGCAGCAGGCACCTGTCGGGGTGTTTGCTGCTGCTGCTGCTGCTGCAGCAAACACACCTTCCCCCACCTACTTGCTGCGCACTCCCGGGGGCCCTATCCTGTAAAAAACCTGTTGTCCGTGCTACTTCCTGGCAGCAGCTTCTACGGAATTACCCAAAGGGGCCCCCCGGGGGTCCTCCGGGGAGCCCCTGGGGGCCCCCCGGTGGACCCACGGGGTATCCCCGGGGGCCCCCCGGGGGCCCCAAGGGGCCCCCCCAAGGGGCCCCATAATGGGTCATGGGGCCCCCACTGGTACATCCCCAGGGGCCCACCAAGGTCCTCGAGGGCGCCTTTGGGGGCCTCCAATGGGTCCTCCCGAGGGGCCCCCCGGTGCTCCTCAGAGGCCCCCTTAGGGCCCCCACCAGGGCTTCCCCAGGGGCCCCCAGGAGCCCCCCAGAGATCCCTAGGGCCCCCCTGGGGGCCCCTTGAGCTCCCCAGGGGCTCCCCTGGGGTCCCCCGCCCCAAGGGGGGCCCCAGGGGGGCGACGGGGGTCCCCACAGGTCCCCCTGAGGTCCAGAGGGGCCCCCTGGGGGCCCCGTTGGCCCCTTGGGGCCCCCCTGGGGGCCCCCTGAGGTTCTAGGAGCCCCCTAGGGGCCCCCACGGAACTTTTGTGTTTGGGGAGATTTGCTGCGACTTTTTGCGTAGTCTCAAAGAGTGTGCATGCGCAGAGGGCCCCTGTGGACCAGCGCATTAAAGATAAAAAGAAACAATGCGTTTTTAGCCCTGTGCAGCGCAGCTTGTGGGCTGCTGCTGCATGCATGCATGCGCGCATGCATGCATGCATGCACGCACGCATGCATGCATGCACGCATGCATGCGTGCATGCATGCATGCGTGGGATTTCGTAGGGAACACAGTTGGACTGCAGCAGGGGCCCTTTTGCTTCTAGTGAAGACCCCTGACAGAGTTTAGCAAAAAGTGAATTGTGCTGAGGTGTACATACACCCCAGCGCCCACTGTCTGTAAAGCCCCACACTCATCGGGCCTCCAGCGGCTTCCTTTCCCTTTCTTCTGCGTCGCTGCGTCGCAGCAAATGCATGCACTGCTGCATGCATGCAGCAGCAGCAGCAGCACGAAGAGTGAGGGTGCGCTGCTGCTCGGCTCGAAAACCAGCTTAAAAAGTAAAGCCCTCAACTAGACATCATTTCGGGATCTGCTTCCAGCGGGCCTACAGGAGGAAGCGACGCACATGCCGGAGGAGGGGCCTCCTGCTGCTGCTGCTGCTGCTGCTGCTGCTGCAGGCCCGTGGCAGCTGCTGCCGCCCTTCCGGCCACTTGCTGCGCCTGCTGCGAACGAGGGCACCAGCGGCCCCACAATTTTGCTGCGCACTATTGCGTCGAAGCGGGAGGAGGTGGACAAATCCCCAGCAGCAGCAGCAGCAGCAGCAGCAGCAGCAGCAGAATCACTGCGGAAAGCAGCCCTCTCGTCTTGGGGCTCCTGCGATGCTTCGCCGTTCGCGCTGCAGCCCAGCGCTGGCTTCGACCTTCTGTGCAAGACACGGCCCTAAACCCTAAACCCTAAACCCTCAACCCTAAACCCTCAACCCTAAACCCTAAACCCTAGGAAAAGACACGGGCTTCGTCCACGCACGGTGAACGCAGCAGTGGTCCCTTTCCTCGGCCTGTAGCTCTCAGATTCGACGGGTTGGGGTTTAGGGTTTAGGGTTTAGGGTTTGGCGCACCTCTTTGCCTCCATAAGCCGCTCGCCCTGTCCCTCGTCTCCATGCTGCGCAATTCGCCTGTCTTCAAGTTGCATGTCCTGCGCGGGCCCAAACCCTAAACCCTAAACACTAAACCCTAATCCCTACACCCTAAACTCTAAACCCTAAACCCAAACCCTAAACACCAGCAAATAACTCCTCGTGCCCCGAGCGCAACCCCGCATCACTCTACCGCCTAGGCCTTGAGCTCTAGGTCTGAGGGTTTAGGGTTTAGGGTTTAGGGACCTTCATGCTGAGGGCCAACGTCTCGAGCTCCGCATCTTCTGAAACTCTTTCTCGTGGGGGCTGCCGCACAGCCGGACAGCCTGGAGCTGCTTCTCTTTTCATGAGTTCATTCTGCAGCAGCAGCAGCAAAGAAGCAAACTGAGACGCTGCAGCAGCAGCCACTGCAGCAGCGCAGCAGCAGCAGTGCAGCAGTGCAGCAGCAGCGTCGCGGCAGCGCTGCTGCGTGCCGCAGAAGCGTCGCTGCTCGCAGGGACGCCCAAACCCTAAACCCTAAGCCCTAAACCCTAAACCCTAAACCCTTCCTCCTCACTTCAATGGCACACAAAAAGTATTGCTGGGGGCCCAAGACGCTTCCTGGGCGGCAAATTCTGTTCCACCCAATCCAAGGAAGTGCCGGAAATCTGAAAACGAAAAAAGCAGCAACAAGCTTCGGGTGTATGTACACCTCAGCCCCACCGCTGCTGCATGCACGCCGCGCTGCGGATGATCCGGCCCACGGATCAGCGTTTACAGCTTAGGGTTTGGGGTTTGGGGTTTAGGGTTTAGGGTTTAAATTACTTGTGGTTCTTGATTGCGTAACAGCCAATCAGAGAACCCGTCCGGCCAAGTCCGGCTTTGCAGTGTACAGCCACCGCGCCGTCGCATGCTTCGCAAAGCTTCAAAAACTTGTCCATAATATCTCTGCAGCAAACCCTAAACCCTAAACCCTAAACCCTAAACCCTAAACCCTAAACCCTAACGCGCAAAGCCTCCCGCGTTGGCTCCCCCACTCCCTCTCCAGCTGGTCGCGGGCGAGCAGCTGCTGCAGGCGCGCTGCTAGGGGTCTGGGGCTAACTAGGGTTTAGGGTTTAGGGTTTAGGGTTTAGGGTTTGGGGACCTGGGGGGACAGGTGCCGTCGACGAAGAAAAGGTCTTGGTGGTCTATGCCCGCCTCTTTGAAGACTTCGGAGTCATACATTTTTTTGTTGAGTCGAATGACAAGTTTGATGTTAAGTTTCTTGAAGACGCGGACATAGTAGGAGGGGTTGCAGGCGCCGTTGCTGCTGCTGCTGCCGCTGCTGCTGCTGCTGCTGCTGCTGCTGCAGTCGCTGCTGCGCCGCGGGCACATCGCAGCAGCACCTATTGACGGGCAGCTAAACGCCAAAAACTTCCCAGGAATTACCCAACTCATATCTCCATTTTCCAGCCTCTCGTAGTGTTCATACTGCGCCTGGTTGAAGGAAGACAGGCTGAACCACCCCAGCTGCAGCAGCAGCAGCAGCAGCAGCAGCAGCAAACCCTAAACCCTAAACCGTAGACCCTGGTAGACGCCACGCACGCAGCCGAATAACTTTTGAACATTTTTGAACAACTTTTGAACATTTTTGAATAAATTTTGGGCATTTTTGAACAATTTTTGAACATATTTGAACAATTTTTGTACATTTTTGAGTATTTTTGAGCAATTTTTAATTATTTTAATTGTTTGAATTATTTTAAACACTAAACTTGCACTGAAAGGGCCGTCAACGCCCACCTGCATGGCGTAGGCGAGGCCCTGGAGGCAGTCGAGCACTGTGAGGCGGAAGCTGCACTGGGAATAAGTGGCGTCTCTGTAAGAAGCCAAATAAATATTAGTTTTTAAAAAAGGCTCGAGAGCTTCATCTGGAGACTTTCCTGCTGCTGCAACGAGAAAGCTGCACAGCAGCAGCACCGCGTTCGTCACGTGCTGCGGCGAGTACGAACTGTAGTGCACCAGCGCCTTCCCCTGCAGCAGCGGGTTCGCCAGCTGCAGCAGCAGCAGCAGCAGCAGCGGCAGCAGCAGTAGCAGCAGCAGCGCGCAGACGCCGTGGACAACAACAACGCAGCCCCAGCCACAACTGCAGCCGCAGCTGCAGCAGCAGCAACGGCAGCGGACTGCTGGAGTTTAGGGCCTAGGGTCTAGGGCTTGGGGTTTAGGGTTTAGGGTTTAGGGTCTAGGGTTTAGGGTTTCGGGCTCACTTTGGCCTTCAGGAGGGAGCAGTACCTGTAGATGCAGGAGAGGTTGAGGGGCCCGAAGTCGAGGAAAAAGGGCTCGTAAATGAACAAGTCATCAGTGGAAAAGAAATGAAGTCCGAGAGTGTCATGAGGACTTGCAACAAAACGCGCAAAGTAAATTTTATTTTGCAAAACCTCCACAGCCTCCAGCAGCAGCTTCCGGTCCCTCTTGCACAGTCCTGGAGGCGTCATTGTGTCCCGCCTCAATCACAACAACCCCACCCTTTCTCATTGACTTGCGGGGCCTGCCCGCCGCAGCAGCGCAGCAGCAGCAGCAGCAGCAGCGGCGGCGGGCGCGGCGGGGGGCGGCGGCAGCAGCAGCAGCGCCCGCGCCAACGGCTGCGTCGCCAGAGGCAACGCTGCAGCAGGGAAGCAGCACTTGAAGAAATTGAAGAAATTGAATAAATAAAAGAAATAAAAACAAAAAAGACCTACTGAGCGGCTCCAAGCCGCAACAGGAAACTCCAAAAAGGCGACAGCCGCCCTGCAGCACGGCCGCCGCGGAGTGGCATAGCCCTGGGCCGGCGCAGCGGCGCAGACAGCCGCGGGCCTCAGCAGCAGCAGCAGCAGCAGCAGCGGCGGCAGCAGCAGCGGGAGCAACGGCTGAAAACCGTGGGACAGAAACTCCCATAGCGCGAGTGAGAGGCCGCGGCTGTTTCCGAGTGTGAAGAGGAAGTGTTGGCCAGGATCTGCTGCTGCAGCAAACGCTGGAGGAACTGTGTACGGGCCGCAGTAGCGGAGCTGCAGCAGCAGCACTGCAGCAGCGCTGCAGCAGCAGCACTGCAACAGCGCTGCAGCAGCGCCGCAGCAGCAGGCAGGCGAAGGCGAGAAAGCGGCGCCGCTGCGCCGGCCAAAGCCTCCCAAGAAGCCCCTTGGATGCAGCAACTGGGAAAAGAAGCAGCAGCAGCCTACAGAGCGCCGGCTCGCAGGGGTTCCATCTGCTGCAGTTGGGAAGCTGCTGCGCTGCTCCCGTCCCCCTGCTGCGCGCAGCGGCCTTTTTGCTGCTTCGAGTTCCCCACAAGGCTCCACTGCTGCCTAAAAAGACCCTTAAGAAGCTGCTGCGGCGTCTCGCGCTGCGCTTGGCTGTCCGCTGTGCACAGGGAACACTGCAGCAGGTTGTCTGCCTCGGCGCAGCTTGAGTGACTCACAGCCACACTGCTGAGGTGCGGCGCCCCGCCTTCTTGAAAGGCGCTGCGCAAAGGGAAAAATTGCAAAAATGAGTTCGAACAAATTGAGGAAACTGGCGATGCGGCGGCGGCGGCGCTGCAGCGGACGGTGAGTGCCGCGTAAGGCTGGAGGCAGCCCCGCTCCCTCTGCTGATCGGCGAGTTCAAGACGCGTTTTTCCGCCTTTCGGAGAAGCAAAATACCAAAAACAAAATAAAATCACTGAATGCAAAACAATGCCGCCGAAGGAAGCTCAGATCCTCTCGAAACCTGCACGGAAACGCCGCTGCTTCCCTCCTCCATCGCGACACCTCCACGCCGCGTCGCCGCGCTCCTTTCCACACTTCAGCTTTCCATCTTGTTTTTTCCGAAAGAATTCGCAAGGAAAGCTCAAGAGGGCCCTAACTCTGGGGCCAGATCTTCCAGCGCAGCCAGCCTGCGGCGGCTGCAGCAGACCGCTGGCTAGTTCGTTTCCTTCTCGGTCTTCTGCGGGTTTCCCGTGCTCCTGCAATTTCCACGACAAATAACTTGAAAAAGAAACTCGCAAAAGTTTTCCCGAAGACCTTTTAGCCGGGGAACTCAGCTGTTCCAGCAAGACACCGCACACGCCTAACGCTGCCAGTTGAACTTGTTGGTTCTGAATTCCAGAGCCAGCTGCAGCTCTTTTGCATTCCTTCGTTGCTTTCGGTGCTTCGCCGGAAGTATTGTGGAAAGAATCAGCTGCTGCTGCTGTTGTTCTCGCCTCGCTTGGCGTCTTGAATCATCTTGAATTGAAAAGCTCGCCAGCCAGCCAACAGCGAGCAGTGTGTCCCGTCATCTTTGGTGGTCTTCTGCACTTTTAGGCTGTGCACCCCTTCAGCTAATCAGCAGCGCCGCTGAGATAATAAAGGTTAGTCGAGTAAAGTGGAGATCAGCCACTAGAAGATGAAATTTGTGGGCTCGTCTGGTCCCGTCAGCCGGCTCTTTGCAGGACTTCTTTGCTTTTGGAATTCTGTTGCTTAGACGCATCATGAGTTTTCGAAATGGAAAGAAATCGGGAAGCTGCATGCGGCAGAGAGCCCAGTTAGGCCGGCCTCGTTGGAGTAGCACCTCGCAGGCCATCCTGTGCAATGTATTTATGTTCCTTGTAGTATATTTATATTATATTGGACATAAAGTGTGTATTTTTTGCAGAGCTGCGTATCTTAAGAAGCGGGAGGAGCCAGGCTGCACAGCATGCTTTTGCATCGACTGTTTGCGTTGCGGAATACGAAGTGAAGCTACTTAAATGGAGAAGAAAAATCCTTTGTTCTGTTCTTCATTGGGGGAAAACTCATGGAATACATGTGCTCTGGCAACAGATTTGCATGCGTGCATCACAAGTGCCTCCTGCGACGAGATTCGTGAAAGCTGCATATGCTAGAAACACATTCTGCTCATTTCTGGGTGAAGACGAAAGCGCCGGCGACTTGTGTATTACCTGTGCGCTGTGCATGCATTTGATGTCGCCATCCCGAAGTTCACAAAGGAAGAATATTCAAAAAGGCATTTTATCTTTCAAAGAGTTTGTTCGAAGTTGCAACAGAAACATGCAAAGTGCGGGTCAGCCAATCCGCCACCCGCGGGCAAGCCGGCCTCTCGTTGCAGCTTTCCTTGCGCATGAGCCACAGAGTCTACTGCACAATCTTTAGGAGCATGTATTCATGTGTTAGTGCACAAATTGGCAATTCTTGTACACAAAGTTCACCTAAGAAAGCTGCAAGATGACCCATTTCATCCCGGGAACGCCCTGAGTGCGCAGGTCTTGCGGGCAGTCCAGCGTGGGGCCCCCGTGCATTTCAAGGGCGGCTGCAGCGCAGTGCAGCAGAGAGGCTGTTGCTGTTGCTGAGGGCAGCCAGTGGACCAATGGTCCAATTCAGGTCTGCCTAGCCGAAAAGGTAGCGTGCGCTGCTGCTGCTGCGAATTGAAAGAGAGGAGCTGTCGTAACTAGCACAGTTTCCAGTTCCTGCAAGGGTGCGTGGTAGCTGTAGAGCTGGCTAGCTGGATAGCTAGCTGCCTAGCTAGCTGTGGACTCACCAGTTCTGCCTGCAGCTGAAACTGCTTCATTTAAGATGTGCAGCAGCTGCTCCAGCTCTATAAATCTGCTGCTCTCAACGACCACCAGTCGCCCTCCGCTGCTAAGAACTCTGGTAGCAGCAGCAGCCAGCTGCAGCAGCTCGGCAGTGAAAGCTTGCACCAAGCCCTGTCTGTGGGGCGCAGGGGGGTCCATAATTACAATATCAAACTGGGCTTCTGAGGTGCAGCAGCAGCAGCCAAGCATCGACACCCAGACTAGCAGCCACAGGCAGCAGCAAACGGCGCTGCAGGCGCACCAGCGGTGATGACCAATGGTCCACTCCCCACTCCCTTCGAAAGAAAGGAGTGTGGTGCAGAAACAAATGAACTAAAACGAAAAACTGAAAAACAGTGCAAGCGATACTTACCTGCGGGAACTTCAGCTGCTGCTGCCACACTAGCAGCTGCTTCCGCAGTTGCTGCTGCGTCTTTGTCTAGACAAGAAGGCCGGGAGGGCCGAGCTCTGTGCCGCAGCCACTGGAGGGCGTCAGCCTGCTGCAGAAGCAACTGCTGCTGTAGATTGTTCTTCTTTGCTGCTGCTGCTGCGAGCTCCAAAGACAGACACGAAACGTCCACACCAACACATCTCTGAGCACCTCCTCGCCGCAGCGCCCCAATGCTGAATGCTGCAGCAGCACGAGCCAGCACAGCACAAGCAGCAGCACAGCAGCATCACAGCAGCAGCAGCACCATTTTACGTATTTTGCAGCCGCTGCGGCTTTGGCCGCAGGAAGGGCTGGAGCTCGGCACAGCTTGAGCAGGCCCCCCAAGTACTCGACGCACGTAGCTAGCTGCTCCAGCTAGCTGCTCCAGCTAGCTGCTGCAGCTAGCTGCTGCAGCTAGCTGGCCTGCAAAGCACTAAGTACTAACTAGCCTCGAGCTGGCGCTGCGGGAGCAGCACCTGCGGAGTGGCAGTGGAGGTCCAAAACCCGCGAGCCACGCGCGAGCTGAGCTACGGCCTCCCGAACCTCCCGCCGGTCGTAATACCAGCCTGCAGCCAACAGTGCGCAGCGCAGCTAGCCACGCCAGCTAGCTAGTCGCCAGATAACCATTCCAGCTAGCTAGTCACGCCAGCTAGCCACGCCAGCTAGCTAGTCACGCCGGCTAGCTAGTCGCGCCAGCTAGCTAGCCACGCCAGCTAGCTGGTCTCGCCACCGTGATGCGCCAGCTAGCTAGCCACGCCAGCTTGCCATGCAAGGTAGCTAGTCGTGCTGGCTAGCCACGCCAGCTAGCTAGCCATGCCAGCTAGCCATGCCAGCCAACTTGCCACGCCAGCGAGCCACGGCTAGCGAGCCACAGGGAGCTCGCCGCGAGCAGCTAGCGACAAACACTAGCCAAGAGCATCTCGCCACAACAAACGAACCAGCTAGCCAGATGCTGCTAGCCAGAAGCAGAAGCAAATCAAGAACTACCAGTAGCTAGCCACTAACAGCCACCGGTAAGCCAGGCCTATGGAAGTGCTGTCAAAGAAACACTTTGTCAGTTTCATTTCATTTAAATTCGAAAAGAAGTAAAAAAAGCACTGATAGGTAATAAGCAAAGAATCTAACAGATCTAACCAACCTGTGTCCGGACTGTTCAACAAATCAACGGGGAAGACGCTGCCGCCTTCTTCTATCCACTGCCAACCTGACACTTCACCTGAGCGCAGACCTCAAAGCCTACAAAACCCTAAACCCTATACCCTAAATCCTAAACCCTAACCCCGCTGCAGCAGCACTGTTCTACCCACCAGCAACAACTGCAGCATACTGCTTCATGGAAGGGTCCCGCTCCAGCTGCCGCAGAAAGCTGTCGTTCCGCAGCACCACAGCTGCGGGCTGCAGCAGCTTCTGCAGACATTCAACAAAAGGCGCAGTCAGCAGCTCGCTCCCTGCAGCACGCACCACCCGCAGCCACAGAAACTCAGCAAGCCCCACCAGCCCCTGAGGGGCCCCCTCAAGGGCCCCCTGAGGGGCCCCCTCAGGGACCCCCTCAAGGGCCGCCTGGGGGTCCCTGTGTGAAACTCAGCAAGCCTCACCAGCCCCTGAGGGGCCTCCTGAGGGGCCCCCTTGGGTTCCCTGTTAAACTCAGCAGGCCCCAGCAGCCCCTAGGGGGGCCCCCAGAAGCCCCAGAAGGGCCCCTCTGGTGTTTCTTATGTGGAACTTGGGGCTGCCTTTAGGCGCTGTTGTGGGGAGCAGGAGCTACTTGCCTCTTGTGAGCTGCTGTACAGACACTGCAGCTCCAAACAGGTCCACGATGAATCCAGGAAGTCCGTCACTTTCCGCATTTAACAGTCGGTAAAAGCCCCGGGGAACAGTCCCGGGAGGCTCTGCATGCAGTGCATGCGGTGCATGCAGTGCATGCGCCGCATGCACTGGCTGCTGTGGGGGGCCCCGGTCCCCCGGGTCTTCAAGAAAAGCCCCTGGGGGGGGCCCAGCAGATTCTGCACAGGACAGAAACACTGCAGGCGGCAGCCCCCGGCGGCGGGCTGCTGCTTCCCGCAGCTTTTGCTGCAGGAAATCTGAATTGAGAATTGTGGAAGGGCTCAAGTCTTCAAGCACTCGAGCTGCAATAAGAGGCCGCGAGTGAAAGAGGCCGCAGCCGAGGTACTCGCCTGTGTCGCTGTCTACTATGTTCACCGCCAGGGGCAGCAGACTACCGCGCTGCTGCTGCTGCTGCTGCTCGTGCTGCTGCTGAGCCGCATCTGCCGCGGCCGGCTGCTGAAGGCTCTGCAGCTCCGTGAAGTTCTTTATGTCGTGCGCGAAAATCCAAGGGGGAAGCGAACGCTTGCTGCCGCTGCTGCCGCTGCTGCTGCTGCTGCCGGCAGGCTTGCCGCGCCGCTGCAGCTGCAGCATGGGGCGGGATTCCGGGATATCTGCGGAAACAGAGCATAAACAGCGCAAATTTTTGTATATTTTATGCCTCAGCTCTCAGAAAGAAGCAACCATAGAGCATATAAGCCCACTGCACACGTAGCCACCACCTGGTAGCCGGTAACCACCGACAGCGGGAAGCAGACAGCTTTTCCGTACCCTGGAAGCCCCCAAACTCATCCAATGATGTCCATACAGTGTATGGCCCCTGCGATCTGCGCAAATCGCCGCGTGCTGCTGCCCCGCGGCCATTTTGGGTCGAGGCATTTCGGTGTGTCTGCCTCAAAGGAATTCTGTTTAGCCGCAGCAGCAGCGGCCGCGCTGCAGCAGCGGCCATCAGCGGCCAGACGGGCCTTGCTGATGGGAGCAATAAGCCAAAGAACTGTAATTGAAGACGTTAGGTGGCCGCGCCGCGTAGCTGAACTCCCTGCAAGCCACAGCTGAATCGACGCTGGTCACGCAAAGCCCAACAATAGCTGGAAAGAGCTCGAGATCACTTCCGGCCCGGACCTTCCACGTGCTGGCACTTAACAAGCAATCGAGTCAGAGTGGCCGGGGGAATGTAGTGTTCAAATTAGCGCCTTTGGCGGCGGAAACGCAACATGCCCTGGCTCCTATGTGGAACGTAAAGCTCCGAACTGTAAGCTCTCTTGAGGGTTGAGATTTGATCAATATGAGGTATTTCCAGCTCTGGAGGTTAAGAAAACAAACTTCTTCAACAGGATGCTGTAGACACCTACGGCAATGTTGTCGCCACAGCCAAGAAGCCCCACGCGTTGACCGCCGCCTTGAACACCATCGCTGCAACACAGCACGGCTATGTGATGCTTCTTGGAAAAAAAAGTGTAACAAATGTGTAAGAAATCCTAATATCTGTCCGACATAGATGCCACTAGAGAGAAAAAGGATTGAAACTTCCTAGGAAGCCGTATTTACGAAATCATATGCTCTGAACAGGATCAGGTGGAGTCGTCACCGCTCTTCTGAGGGCTAGTTGACCCTGTCTAGCATTGAAATGTCCAAAATTACTGTTTACTTTTCAAGATCCCATACTGCAAATGAACAGGTATAGCCCAAACAACTGGGCTTCGGGGAATCGTGCTAGAGCCTCCACTGTCCACGGCATATTGCACACAAGATTCAGCGAAGAAAGCTGCCTAACAAGTGAAATGTGTACTGGAGCAGTGCAGTCTGGTTACTGTTGCAGGTTCTGGGCAGATTCTTAAGTTCCACCTTGTCTCTAGCTCCAAATGCTGAAATCATTGAGCTGCAGAGCATAGTGCTGGTATTCCAGCGACTGAGATAGTATTCAGAGAAGTTCAGAGATGAAGAATTCGTTTAATACTGGCACGGACTGTAGGACAAGAAGCAGGAGGCTCGAGTGTGGGCAACCAACGAACGGCGGAATAACCTCTTGTAAGCTGTTCCTGAGAATGTCGGAGGCAGATGCAAATGAAAGTGGAGCTAACTCTAAAGCTTGCATGTCTTCTATAAGTAAGAGCCTGAGGCCGAACCTAGTGGCATGGAAAGGCTATGTGGAAAGAAAGCAGCCGAAAGATCCCCCCACCTTAATGTGACCAATGGAGCTTCTCGTCTTACTTTACTTCCCTGAATGTGCCTGTATTGCTTTCCAAGCTTCATTCAGGCCTTTAACTGGTCATAGATGGAACGAAATGCGCGTCTTACTTCGAAGCTTCATCAAAGAAGGAGTTGGAAGAACTCCTCCTTTGAAGCCTCAAGTCGTGGACTTACCTTCAGTGCCATGAGCTTATCAGTAAGCTACTTAACCTTCAAGTTTAGTCACTCAACTTAACTTGTCGAATATTTCTCAGCTTCAAGTCAACACCGGGGATCTTGCACCGAGTTTCACTGCACCAGTGTTTCGCTCACTGTGCTTCATAAGCACAAAGAGGTCACTTTGAGTTAGCTCTTTTTTGAAATGCCTTTTCAATAAATGAGCTTGAAAAAATACACAGAAAACGTGTGTTCTTCCCGTGCCAGACTGGAAGTAGATTAGATGCATCATTGGAAGAATGATACGAATTCTCGTCGTGTTACGCGCCAATAGAGCCCATATGAGGGCTCAAGACACTAATTATATCTGTGTTTCCCTTGTTTCAAGTATATCTGGGTTTCCCCTGTGTAGAAAGCTTTGTATGAGCAGGAGGCATTCGGGTTGCTGAAACGAAGCCTTTTGCTGCAGGCGGTGCAGGTGTCCTGGCGTTAAGAGCAGAAGTTTACGCCAGCACTAGCTGAAACACTACTTCCTAAAGTAAGATGTAGTTGGCAGCTAGACGTCCGCGTGTCCCATGCCTTGATGCTTACGCAGTTCTCCGTAAGTTACTGGGGTGAGCGATTAAAACGAGAGCTGGTGCCCTCCGTCTACACGTTGGCTGCAATGAAAGGCTCCTCTGGTTGCAAGGATTGTTTCAGGATTAGTAAAGTTGTGGTCTTTCGTTCAATGAAATCAAGAGGAGAGGTGAGCGACAACACCACTGTGGTTCGTCTGCACACCAACTTACAGGCTGCGTTTCCAGACCAACAGTTTGGTGATATTAGTCACTGCAAATTGCTTTACTTTGAATTGTATTGGCAGTTTGGAGCAATTAAGTGCATTACTGAGACGTATGCAGCTGTGGCGGGGGCGGCAGCCGTCTCGACAGTCGACAGTAACGACGCGCGCCTCGTCAGTAATGTTCCCGTCTTCTTAGCACAAGCTGCACTGGGAAGTTTCACCGGTCGTAGACATTCTATCTGTGAAAATATGAATGAAGATAACTGCTTGTAAACAGAACAGATCAAAAGTTCTGCATAGCAGGCACTCGCATCATGCCCGACTCCTCGCTGGCGGTCCACGAAAAGTGAATTTTGAAACCTTCTCCGTCGAGTATGCAAGCGAGCCCGTTACTTGTAGACCCCATAAATATCTGCGGATATAAATATCTTTTTTGTCTCTACAAACAGGGATGACCACAAGGAAGTCGAAGCGGTGAAGAGCCCTGTGCAGATGCAGTGGCGATTGGCACAGCGGTCTGCCCGTGCCTGCTCAGGCGCACAACGGGCGCGCCGAACACGTTGTGTTCTTACTGAAGTTTGGAGAATATTCTCTGCTTATGTTGCATATTAAAGCTTGCATGCGCCTATGAGTTTTGCGCAGAGGCAGTATCCGTTTGTGAAGCGTGGCTAGTTTCTGTGCCTCATTCCCGCCACTGAGAAAACAACGAGCGCAGGAGTAATTGGGGGATCATGGCCAAATATTTATGGCCTTCTATATGTTCTTCAACTCCTGGAGCTAATTGGAAGGCCACAAGATACGGCAGAGCCTTACCCGGCAGGTAAGGTGTTGTCGTGCGGCCTGTGTCTGGGGCGCCGACGATCGCAAGGACTCTTGTCGAGCACCTCTGCCCCACAGTCAGGAGGAACGCCCACTCTCTGGCCATCTGCTGCCTTAGGACTTTGGCACAAGCTGCCTTTGGTCCTTCTTGCTGTCTTGTTAGCGGGTTTACAGGAAGCGTGAGAGGCGACTGCATGGAGCTGACTAGCTGGCATCATAATGGGCAGCCTGGTCGACCTGCTGCGCCGTGTACAGATAGTCGTTACACCTAGTATATGCACTCCAAGGAATGGCCGGCTCGTTCGTACATGACGAGCCTCGGGACCTGTCAGCTTTAGACGTGGAATGGGGTGCTCCCGCCTCCCCTTGCCTGGGCCCGATGGCGCCAGCAGCGTACGGGGTGTGGAGTCCGGCGCTGAGCCCCATGACTCCCTCTGTAGGCGCGTATGGAGGGAGGCCCTCATGCTTGAAGCGTAGTCCCCAGCTGCCGCTAGCAGGGCAGCCGGCAAACCCAGCATACGGCCGTTTACAGATTTTTTGTCCCGACAGAGCTGAGCGCTCTCGAGGTGTTGGCGGCAAAACCAGTGGTTGCGACGGATGCTTCCTCATGAGCCCCCGTTGCTCTTTCAAAGAATCCTCCCGAGTTCAGTCGCCTTCAAAGTATGAACTGGCTGCTGTGACTGCCCTTTGCAAGACCCCCTTGCTCTCCCGCAGCTCCCCTCGCCGCAGAACTCCCAAGAAACTGCGTTTCCCCGCAGCAGCATCTTTCATCCCCAGTAGACACTTGCCAGCTGGTGCTGACGGCCTTGCAGTTGTCTGTAACACCCCTCTTTCCACCATTCGGCGGCCAAATAGAACTATGAGGCGTTCAGAGTCGCCTGCAAGAGCGGCGCTGAAAGCCTCAGAGTGCTCGCAAAAAGCCCGTCTCAGGCCTTTTCAAGCAGTGCCAAGGGCGCAGCCACAGTGGGAAACGCGAGGGCTGCGGGCGTGCAGGAATTGGCTTCACAGGGAGCCTCCTGAATCGCCGCCTCGCGAAGCCGGCGAGTCAGTCTTCCCGCTTCTGCCCGCCAAGGGAGTTTCAGCCTCTTTCAGATGGAGAAGTCGACAGCCGGAGGGCGCGACTTGTGGGGAGCCCCTCAGAAGTCCCGATGCATCTGTGTACTGCGGAGCTGCTACGGTGCCTCCAGTCATGGGGCGCTACCAAAACCGTTTTTGTATGGAGTCAATGCCTTCAAGAAGCCCGCTTTATCATGGGGAAGCTGGGTATTCACACGTTAAGGCCGTGGAGGCTTACTCGTCCATGCGTCACCCCCCGATTTCGTTTGCGTCTAGATCACGTGGCATCTTGCCTATGACAACGTTGCCTGAATCCGGGGACCAAAAGGCCACAGAGGACTCCCAAGCACAAGCTGAAGACCCTCGTGCAGACGTGGTGACTGTGTACAGCACAGATCGTTTTTGGGCCCTGATGGAAACACTAGTCGAGCTCCAGAAAGGACCAACGTCATTGCACAGCAGTAGTGTCACGTTTGATTCAGTGTTGCTGCCAGGGGGAGAACTGCAGTACTCATTAATTGAGCAGGGGAGCTTTGGGAAGGTCTTTGTGGGTTCGCACTTGGGCACCAAAGTGGCCATTAAGGTGCCGGTGGAAAGCATGTTGCGTACTGATCCAGCTGGGGTGATGGAGCGCACGCTAAATGAATGGCGAATTCTCTCAGTGTGTCAGCACCCAAATGTGGTCAGTCTTGTTGGTGGTATAGTTCACGGGCCTTTTGACGTGTGGTTAGTCACAAAGCTAGCCAAGGGCAGCGATCTGCACTCGCGTAAGTATTCTCGCGACCCTCAAGTGCAGCGTTTCATTTCTCCGCAAAATGGGCTGTATATGTGCCGCCAACTTGCTGCAGTTGTGGCGTACTTGCACACTCCTATTCCCGGAAAAAAGCCTGTCGTGGTGCACCGAGACATCAAACCTGAAAATGTCTTGATAGCCGATGACTGGAGAATACAGCTCTGCGACTTTGGGGACGCAGAGGCTTCTCCTGATGGGCGTGTTTCCCGAATATCCGGTGCCACGTGGTTCTACGCTCCAGCAGAGCTGCTGCGCTGTAGCCCGGTGGAGTCCATGATGGCCGACTCGGGAGCACAGCTGCCCCCCTTTGACGAAAAGTGGGATATCTGGTCAATGGGATGCGTTTTCCACGAAATGCTGGGCTTTCTAAATCCGATGCACGTGCACATTTCAAGCCGTGACAGCCCCAGCATTATCTACCAAAAACTCAAGTCAAAGGCTATCGCTGGAGCTCTTGTTCCGGAGATTGCCGAAGAGATTCGAGGCATCGCAAGAGCCATCATTTTAAGGTGCCTCAATCCGGACCCACGAGCGAGGCCGTCTGCTGTGGAAGTGCTGCAGATGTGGAGCGCACGCGACGAAGACATCCTTAAGGACATCCACCTGCGGCCAGCAAGTCCCCAAGCAAATATGTTCATGGGCAGCTCATGCAGCAGCGAGCAATGTTCTTCTGGTGCAGTCTACGAGCCACAGCAGCTGTTGGGAGACGCTCCATCGTCATACCCTGCACATGACCTCCCGTGCACGCGTGGATCTGCTGACTGGGAGGCAGGAAATGTACCGTATGGACAATCGTTATCCTCCTCAAATGAACATGTTTCCACAGGGGCGGCGGTAGCCTCAGTGCAGGAGAACCGAGCAAGCGAGACACCGTGGTCCACGATGCCTTCGAAAGCACCTACCCAACTTCCGCTGCTCGCTGAGAGGTCCCCTGTACCAAAGGAAGGCGCGAGGTTCGTGCCACAGCAAGTTAGAGCAGCTGCTCAGTGGCAGTGATCGACCATGATATTTGCACCTTGAGGGCAATTTCTGCTGCATCGTGAAGTTCCAAGTCATTCCACGTGCAGTCATCTGGAGTGTCCTGTTGTTTAGTTCTAATTGATACATCCAGTACTGAGCGACCGTCAACAGAGCATCTCAGCACGTGCCACAGCAGTCCAACTGGCGTATTGCTTGCCCCGTTACTAGTGCCGTCACACTTGGTGTTTACTTTCAGCAACTTGCGTCCGTCACTTTCGAATTTGTGGCGAACAATGTCCGCACCCTAGTTTCAAGGACACGCAGGCATGGCGTCCTATAGCCTCCTAAAACTGAACATGGTTTGCGCATAGGCTGAAAAGCCCTAAGTGTGTTTGAGAGCAGTTGATTCATGAATTGCTTCTTAAAAAAGTGTTATAACAAATCGTCTTTCTCTTAATGTGTAAAGGAAATCAAGTGAACAAAGCACGACTACGTTCAACACTTATGTGCTCCTTAATGCACATCGTACTCCTGACTTCACCAAAGAAATATTGCCGAAAATGCAACGATTCAGTCAAGGTGCGAGAATTCACCGGCACCGAGAGATTCTCAAGAGAAAGCATCGCAGTGCTACTAATCACTTGACACGCAAGCACAACTGTTCACCGAGACTTGCAGTGGAGCCGCAAGCGCTTGTCCTGTCCAATGCGGATCGCCTCAATACCACCATACCATCAGACAGTTTGCGTTTTTTAAAATTCAACCGCCCACTTCTACTGCGCATGATGCTCTTGCACGGACAATTCGCCATGAATACAAGGTTGCAAATATTGCCACCTTTTACACTGTGAAGAGAAATTTCGTCGAACACAGCACAGATAAGACCGACGCACTTCGGCCTTCGTGAGGGCCTACGCGACCTGCTACAATCAAAGAGTAGTTCCCTGATGCTGGCCCTACAAGCTGCAGGTCTGACCCCACCACGCAAGGCGCGCTTCAATGGCACAGATACGTTTGTACGCAAATCCTGCACTGAGCTACGTGCTGAACCCGCCAAATTCTTCGCCATATCTTTGGGCGCAACTGTGTCGAGTCCGCTACTCAGAATTGTGTGCGAAGGTGGCACAGACGGGAAAGAAATCACTGACATGACTAACTTCCAGCGCGCTGCCTGGCAGACAGCCGAACACAAGAGGTCGGTAAAGTATCTTTTCTGGGGAAGGGTCCACAAGAGTCCTCTGCCCACGAGCTACTCTGCCTGCATGCTCAGAGTATATCAAGAGGTAATCCAGCAACTCCTGCTTCGGCTGCTTCGGGCATCCTTCGCCTGCAGCAAGCACACATAGCTTCGAAGGCCAGCAGATGCGCATCATGACTCTCACGCCTTACGAGCTAAGAAGCTAATGAACACGTCCACAAAGCCTACCATGGCAAAATGGGCTGTTACATGCACAAACATACTCAGACACATAGGTGTGCATGACACGCTCTTGTATACTTGTATTCGCTGGCGTCTTACTCTGGTAGCACGTGTCGTTGTTGACCGTATCAAAATTCGGCTGCGCGATGAATGCATCTTCAAGCGCTAAGTTCGCGTTCAAACCATCAATTCCTAACGCTTCTGCAAGTGATTTCCGGTCCTCTGTGAAGCGGAAGTTCAGGTTTCCTCCAATGATGAGCGGATCTGTAGCTTTCAGAATGCCCTTCGGCAGATCTGCACGCGTATGGTGGAAATGCTTGCGTTCTTCATCAGCCCCAGGAGACTTTGACTCAAGTTCTGGAAGCCCAGCTTGAGGCGTCTTATTGGGTTTTGTCGCGGAGTCGTCCGAGGCGACAGAGCTTTCGGTCCTTGTACTACTTTCTCCTGGAGAGGAGAGCGCCCTGTCAACATCACTTGAGGCGAACTCCACCTTCTCGATGTCCTCCATCCCTGTTCTTGCCCATTCCATCACCTCCTTAACTTGGGCCACGCGGAGGGGATTGTGATTTGCCCCAGGCTGCAGCTGCATAGCCAGCACGTTGTACACTTTGCCACATTTTTCCACTTGGACCAAAGCCGCCCCAGCATTGGACAGTGACTGTGGATAAGCTGAGGCTGAAAAGATGTAGGCATGGCGACGCAGCATTGGCCATTTTGACAAAATGACAATGCCACCATTCCCCCTAAAACGCGAAAAGCTTCCGCATACAGAATCCCAGCCATTGTTCATCACAAAAGCAGCGGCTGCGCCCTTTTTTTTTGCTTGTTTGCGTGAGGGAAAGGCCTGGCACCACCAGCAGCGGCTACACCATGAACAGCGGCCCTCCCCACCCTCATTCTTGCAGCATCCTGGGTCACCACCTACCACCCGTGTCTGAAAAGGGAACAACGGCTCTTCCCGGGCAAGCCTTTTCAGCAGCCGCTGGGTCGAGCTGGAAAACACTCCCTGAATCAAAAGTACATCCGGGTGGTGTATGTCTTCCAGGGAAAGCAAATAGCGGGTAAGTGCAGCCTCTCGCCTTCGCCAGTTATCATCAAAAAGGCCGCTGCCGCTCTCCATCCTTAAAGTATACGACACGACAGTGAGCTCGTCAGGAGAGGCATTCAGACAAATGCTGAAATATGTGGACCTGCGGGCCTCTAAAGAGGGAGACGAAGGTAAAGCCTCTGGGGCCTCTTGCGGCTGGCTTTCTGTGGGGGGCTCTTTCTTGCGGTTTTCTCTTTGGTGTTCATGATCATTGTCCCTCTGCTCTTTGTGATTGCGCCTGCGGTGGTCATGCGGAAACCTTGCCCCCCCAACTAGAGTACCGTTTCCACGACTCTGCGTTCTGGAGGCTGGGCCACGGCTGGGCTTTGCCCTTGATGGGTGCACTCTGGCGGGCCGGACTGCGTGGCCCTTTAAAGTCTTTTTTAAACTTCGGCTGGACACACCCGACGCAAGGCCACTCTTGCCTTCGGGTGAAGCACTGCCTGTGGATTCCTCCGTCTTGGGGCTTCTGTTTCCCTTCTCATTGCTCTGTGGCTGGGACGACTGGGACCCAACAGTAGGCACCTCAGACTGTTCAGTCTGATGAGAGGGCTTGCTGATGTTGCTGTCAACATCTGCAACAGAAACCCACAGAACTCTGGAATTCGTGCGAACCAAGCCTACATCCCAATGAACTGAATTCCCACCTGAACCTGGACACGAACAGTAAAAACGTCACAGCTGACTCCACGCACACAAAGCTAACAGAAGTCTCATCAGAACGCCTCCTGCGGTTCTACAGCTTGCCTGATTTCGTTGTAGTTTCAGCATTCGATGCAGAACTTGACTTCTGTTCCAGAGCTTGAGGTGCTACTGGTTCTTCAGGGTGCATCATCTTCCTCTTGGGCTCCTTAAACGCATAAGCTACGAGGTCCAGAATTTTTCAAGGACGTCTGAGAAGCACACTGAGGAATGGAAGGCTAACAACGCAGCCATACCCACAGCACGCCGCACCAATTGGAAAAACCAAAATCAGCAGCAGAAATGTTGGAAACGGGAAGCCGGGCCCTGCTTGTTTTTGGTTGTGCTTCTTGCGGTTCAGTGAACGTGTCAACTGTCCCGAGTCCCTATGCCCCAAGTAACGAATGGCAGTAGAACCACAAGCAAGGGAACAGCTAGAACAAGCGCAATTAAAAAGCAAGCAGAAATCACTATAGAGTGTAACTGGCTTCGTTTAGATCTTCATGCACCATGCATCCGCCTTGGAAAAAAGGTCACGGGGAACTACGCTGCGAGGCAAACTTGCGTCCCAATTCCTGAGGTACCAGCCGAAAGGCGGATTCCAGAATGAAATCTTCGCAAAATTAACCAACGAATACTGTTTGCCTAATCAAGATATGAGAAAGCTGACGCAGTAGCTCATGTCGAGCGGCAAGGCTTGGCCAAGTGGCAATGGTAAGAGTGAACCACTGGCAAAATGTTAGAAGCAGCTCGACCCAGTGCCACAATATGAGTGTAATTCCGTATTTACAACCATATGAGACAAAAAAAACAATGCGACAAGGGGATGCCTGGCGAGCGCTCAGGGAGTCGAGCCTGTACCCTGTAACAACTGACCGTTAAATGGACAGCACCGACCTCAAGCAAATGCGACTTCTACTGCGATAAACAAATTATTCCATTAAAAAGGCTCATATTATCGATGAAATAACGGTAGTTGCTGCTCTTTGGGTCTCTTAGGCGTCGATAGTGTCGAGAAAGCGGTCCAAAGCAGATTGAGCGGCCTCTTTTCTGTGGGGGAGCCAATGGTACATGCTGCTTCGGCGAATAACTCCCCACTAAACTTACCCAAATGTCCTACCTGAGTAACAAATTATCACATATTTGTTCCGAAAAATCCGTTCGAGAAAATCATAACACAGTAGATCTCACCTGCCTTCCTCGTGCAAGCCGTGGCCGTCACAACGGTGAGTGGGACCCGCTCCACAGCATTCAAGAAAAGCTATCAAAAGTCGACGATCTGTACTGAAATATTTACTGCTTTGTGGCAAGACACCAACCAAGTGAAGCATGTTGTCTCATAATGCGCATTTAAAGCCGAACAACAATATCAAAAAGGCGCCATGCGCACCTTTCCGGCATTCTAGCACTAGTTCTGCACCGTTAAGCAATATTCATTTAATGGGGCTTCACGCTTCTGATGCTCTTCACAGTCCCCAAGTGTGCTGTGAGTGACAGTAGCGGTGCTTAGCTTTGAAGGATAAGTCTACGCAAGCACTAGGCGGTGGAGCACCACGACATCGAAGGATGAAATAGCCCTTCAAAGAAAAGTTGTTTCGCAATATTCGTTGATAATTATGTCCAGGAAGGACGAAATAAGCGAACAGTGATAGACCCCAGTGAAACAGAATGACGGGAAAGATCCCAGCGGCTCCACAAACATACACTGCAGCCGAGCACACACTGAAAAGCATTACAGGAGGTCTCTGATACTACAGATGCTTTTGGTGGCGTAAAGGGGCTGAAAAAGCTCTGGAGGGATTCACTGAAACAAGGAAACCTAGTAGCGTCCCGGAGTGCATAGTTTTCTGGCTGTTTGGAATATTGCCATACGAACGAAAACCTTATGAGTACTTCCGGACCAGTGCAAGATCACACAACGGGACTGCATTGTGCCATTACAAGACGTTTTTGTGGTTTTGAAATCGTTCACATTGTCAAAATATCTTCTATAGAAGAAGAGCTACCTGGCAGTCCCTAGAGGCGCTTTCTAGTTTCTCCTCTTCACTAGGGTCCATTTTAGTCGCTCTAAATCAAACTGCTCCGGCTGACTAGCACGCTCAATAGGCTGGCAGTGTTTTGCAATGATTGTTCAAGCCCTCATTTCCTATGGGCGCTACTACTTCCATTGCGTAATTTGAAGCTGCGCACCCGCACCGCTTCGGCCTCCAGCTGCCTTGCAGCAACGCCTCCAGGCTCATTGCTTTTCCTTCGCTGCATGCGCCCAGCTAAATACTATTGGGACGAAACTTGTAGCTGTGATGAAAATTGTTTATTATACTCATGGCACACTGGAACGTATGTATCCGTCAAATTCGGCGGCATGTGCCCCCCACTGGTTCAGCTGTAGCCTGTCCCCACGGACACTATTGAAGTTCCTCACGCTTATGTGAAGGGGATAATGGGCACTTCTCGAACTCGCTTCGCTTCACTGCCCCGCATTCACGGAGATCATCTTCGAGATTCTACAGCCGCATTCGATGGCAAACCTGGACACCGCCTGCAAAGTACTTTTGCACATTCCTGCGAGGGACTGCGGGTTAGAGGAGTGGGACAACGTTTTGCCACCTGGACAGCGAGCTCTGCGTCGCCTTTCTCAAGCAAAAAGTCCTTGCAGGACTCGCTTTGCAAATGATGTCAGCAAGGGGAAGAGTTTTTGCAAGTAAAACATGAACGCTGCGCCTTTTGCAAATTGAAGGGCCCTGAACTGGCGTTTTGTGCTTCTGCGTTGTTTCTCGCTCGCTAGATTATTGTCGATGATTCTTTTCTTTGCATCATTGTCACTATGGTTCTCAACAAGAGGCACAATGTTTTTTGCGTGGATGGGTTGAGATTTTGCCCATCAAGCCAACTCGACTGGGGCACTATTCACGTATAAAGACGCGATTCAAGCCGGGCACCGGCTGGCTCTGTTTGCCGCTTACCCCATACGTTTCACATTTTTGAGGTGCCACCCCCTGCTTCTCTCTTCCTAGCATCTATTTTCTTGAGTTACTCTCTTTTAAGGTTTCGGTGTTTGCACGGCACTTATTGTGAAGAACCCTCAAGAAATTAAAAGCTACAGGTGTACGAGGCTCGTGAGGGGTGAAACCAGAGTGCACACAAGCTGAATGGCATTCAGAGACTTAAAATGTGGGCTCTTAATTCGTTGGTGCGCCGCCGTTCCATTCTCCCCAGCACCTCAGGCCCCCAAAACAGCTCCTTCGCTTATTACATAGCATACCATCCCATAAAGAAGTACGTGACAGCTATCCTTGTCTTGCGTTAGGCATGAGGCAACTTGGCATCTGCTGTAAAAGGTTGGGGGTCGCACCTGTTACATCCTCTGCCCCCAGCACCTACAACACAACAAACTGGAGTTTTTGAAGGTCTTTTTATCTCCTGGGCGAAGCCCCTTTGTCTTACAAAGTCGGTCTTTAAACTTCCCACATGTATACAAGATCGCGTGTCACAACCCGGCGAAACACCGAAACCAGCAAAATCGTACCCTTCCACTGGGAATCCCACACCAAGTAGAAAGTTTTACGAAGTTTCTGTACACTATATTTTTATCGGAACAAAATCACATATTTGTTGCGTGTCCCTTACCCATGAAGACTTACCGGCGCAACAGTGAGCGTGGCTGCTGAGTTGCACACTTGGCCTCAATTGTGAAATTCGTTGCATCCGCGCTTTGTGCTTTACCCTACACTGCACATCGGAGTGTAATCGTCTGTAACGCTGTCTCCTCTAATGTGGAGCGCCCCGTCATTTTCCTGGATAAGAGTCCTGGACTCTTATCCAGGAAAATATGCATCTCTGCTTGCCTAAATTGTTACGTGAACCGGGACGAATGTACAGGTATACTTCAGTATTTCTTATTTATCATATTCTCATCTCATGTCTAGATAAGTTCGAATACTATGGTGTCTCACTGAAGACGTCTGACCCCCACATTTCAACCCTAGGCCTGACGAGCACCCTTTGCTTCAGGCCCTCCGAGTTGGAGCGGGGTTTCGCAGCTAGCCAGTTCACCACTCATATGCTGTATGAACCCCAATACATTTTGCAATTATTTTAAATCCAACAATAGGGCTCCGCAGGCTAGGTCGTTGCTGTGCCAACGGAACAGACACGCGCTCCCTCCAGCAAATCTGCGCATGATATAGAACCTCAAAACTTACACTTTCCACTGTTTCCATTTCACGGAGATGAAAACAGTAGGCGTTGCTTATGAAATCTACAATTAAGTGCGACTGTGCTGGCATTTGCTACCACACTTTCAACACCTGTGCAGAGGTTCCAAACGAGCAACTGCATGCATGCACCTGCTGAGTGGAGCGCTGGAAGGAGAGCATTATCGATCTACCTCAAGCAAGTCTTACATCTTTGGAACGATATCAGGTACCAAAAACCAATTTTGTTATTATCTGTGTTGGAAAAGATGCGTCGTGCCTTATGTGGAAGCCGCCACTGGGCACACTGCGGGCACGCCATATGCGCCGTTCCGAAAATCACGCCCAAGCAAGCAGCGAATAGTTCGTAACTTTGGTTCTATCAATCTAGAATTAAACTCGTGTGTTCTTTTGAGCCGGTGAAAAGTGGCTTTTGGTTGTTACCGCAGAGCTGCTACTGGATGAACCTTCAAGAAGAGTGCTCCAGTCATGCAGCCCCCAGGTTTCGGGGGGCAGGCTGGCACAAGTAAGCAGCTAGATTCGATGAGCTGTAGTCGTTCTCCCCCACGTAACTGATAGGCTTTAATTGTGAGTATATAATTTGGGTAGGCTGAGCAGCTTGGGACATAGAACCTGATGTCCCGCGTTGTTCACAAGCCATACCAAGCACTAGGACGCCGTACACCGCACGCTTTGGCAGGGGAAAATTGCAGGAATAGCCCACAGCCTTTTGGAGATGTTTGGCTGCAGAATGGACTAATTGGCGACGCAACCGTCGTTTTAAGCTGCTGAGACCATCACGTGGCACTTCAGAGTGATATTGGAAACAGATGCACACTGCTTATCGTGTTCCCGTTGTCAGATCATACCTTTAATCCGGTATTGAATTTGCCATCCGTAGCAGTGTAAGATGACGGGAGAATCAGATCCAAGCCGGGCAGCTGCTTCTATACTTTGGCGC